CAATATATAGGGTTAGGGTTAAATCAAAATGCAAAAACATGAAAGGACAAAGGAGAAAAACGAGAAATGGTTAGACCTCTACTTCTCCAAACCACATCTTAGTCAGTCCTTCCCCATGGTGACTACTAACTGTAAGTCGCTCTGGATAAGAGCGTCTGCTAAATGACGTAAATATAAATGTAAAATGTGACACAAATACAGAATCATTACAAAAGTAATATTACGTAAACTTATTTTGCAAATACTTGTTATCTGTGTGCAACTAGCAACAAATTGTAATAAACATTTACAACCACCAGGTAGATACCGGGTGACACAGGGCTGAATTTTTTTTTTTTTCCAAAACTACACTGCTCAAAAAAATAAAGGGAACACTAAAATAACACATCCTAGATCTGAATGAATGAAATAATCTTATTAAATACTTTTTTCTTTACATAGTTGAAAGTGCTGACAACAAAATCACACAAAAATTATCAATGGAAATCAAATGTATCAACCCATGGAGGTCTGGATTTGGAGTCACCCTCAAAATTAAAGTGGAAAACCACACTACAGGCGGATCCAACTTTGATGTAATGTCCTTAAAACAAGTCAAAATGAGGCTCAGTAGTGTGTGTGGCCTCCACGAGCCGTTATGACCTCCCTACAACGCCTGGACATGCTCCTGATGAGGTGGCGGATGGTCTCCTGAGGGATCTCCTCCCAGACCTGGACTAAAGCATCCGCCAACTCCTGGACAGTCTGTGGTGCAACGTGGCGTTGGTGGATGGGGCGAGACATGATGTCCCAGATGTGCTCAATTGGATTCAGGTCTGGGGAACGGGCGGGCCAGTCCATAGCATCAATGCCTTCCTCTTGCAGGAACTGCTGACACACTCCAGCCACATGAGGTCTAGCATTGTCTTGCATTAGGAGGAACCCAGGGCCAACCGCACCAGCATATGGTCTCACAAGGGGTCTGAGGATCTCATCTCGGTACCTAATGGCAGTCAGGCTACCTCTAGCGAGCACATGGAGGGCTGTGCGGCCCCCCAAAGAAATGCCACCCCACACCATGACTGACCCACCGCCAAACCGGTCATGCTGGAGGATGTTGCAGGCAGCAGAACGTTCTCCACGGCGTCTCCAGACTCTGTCACATGTGCTCAGTGTGAACCTGCTTTCATCTGTGAAGAGCACAGGGCGCCAGTGGCGAATTTGCCAATCTTGGTGTTCTCTGGCAAATGCCAAACGTCCTGCACGGTGTTGGGCTGTAAGCACAACCCCCACCTGTGGATGTCGGGCCCTCATACCACCCTCATGGAGTCTGTTTCTGACCGTTTGAGCAGACACATGCACATTTGTGGCCAGCTGGAGGTCATTTTGCAGGGCTCTGGCAGTGCTTCACCTGCTCCTCCTTGCACAAAGGCGGAGGTAGCAGTCCTGCTGCTGGGTTGTTGCCCTCCTACGGCCTCCTCCACATCTCCTGATGTACTGGCCTGTCTCCTGGTAGCGCCTCCATGCTCTGGACACTACGCTGACAGACACAGCAAACCTTCTTGCCACAGCTCGCATTGATGTGCCATCCTGGATGAGCTGCACTACCTGAGCCACTTGTGTGGGTTGTAGACCCCGTCTCATGCTACCACTAGAGTGAAAGCACCGCCAGCATTCAAAAGTGACCAAAACATCAGCCAGGAAGCATAGGAACTGAGAAGTTGTCTGTGGTCACCACCTGCAAAACCAGTCCTTTATTGGGGGTATCTTGCTAATTGCCTATAATTTCCACCTGTTGTCTATTCCATTTGCACAACAGCATGTGACATTTATTGTCAATCAGTGTTGCTTCCTAAGTGGACAGCTTGATTTCACAGAAGTGTGATTGACTTGGAGTTACATTGTGTTGTTTAAGTGTTCCCTTTATTTTTTTAAGCAGTGTATTAACTACAGTAGTTTCAGTTAAACAAAGTCTCTGTATCATCATAAAACATTCAATCTGGAATATGAGAAAACACCACATGGCTGTATAATAGAAGCCATAGTACTGTATGCTATCCCCCATTTTTTCTAGCCAAAATTGCTGTGTCACTCTCCACACATAATAGCCTTGACGTTGGAGTTAAGCAATGTATCCTCATCTGTCTCTGCTGCTGGCTTACCGTCCTCTTGCTACTCATCCTTCCCCATCATCTCCTCCCCTTCTATCTCCTCCTCCTCCTCCTTCTCCATCACTCCACTCCCCTCTCCACCATCTTCTTGCCCCTCATTGTTCTTCTCTCGTTTGATTTCGGCGTACTCTGACTCTGTTGTGGTGGTCTTCTTCTCTGCCTCCTCAGGAGAATTTTTCTTCAGTAGGGAGTAGTTGATACTGGCGTAGTCCACTTCATTTGGTTCTTCCCTTGTGGCAGATTTTCCCACGGCTCCACTGGTGTGGGGCCATCCATTTTCAGCTCCCTCCCTCAGCTCCACCTGCAGAGAGGTCTGTTCGCCCCACACAGCTTGTCCTGCATCCGTCTATGGAGTCTTTTGTTAGCTTGGTGGTCCCAGATCTGTTTATACTGTCTTATCAACTCCTATTGGCATGTCAATGCTAACTGAATGTTGGTAAAGCTGAATAAAGAAAGAAACTGGTACTGCACCTGTTGGTCTTCACATGCCACCATCTTCAGGTTCATGAAAGGGCTTTTGGAATCGGAGTCCTTTGGGATCCTCTCTTTGCGTCTACGGAAAATATTACAAATGAAATGTCTCAATAACTGTATTTTGGAGGGGTTAGCAAGCACTTCCATTACAATATGGTGTAAGGCATTGGTACATTTTGACAATAAATCTGAAGTTATTGATAATAAATAGAAATACATCAGTAAGACAATCTACAATTGATTTTTACAACATATTCAGTTAACACTAACTGTACTTCAGTAATAGAATGCATGTACTTTTTACATCTCCCTGTCAAACACAGGAAGATACAACAGATGGTGGCTGAGAGGGCTGCACCAATCACAAATGCAGTAATCAGTGGTGGGTCCGACAGCATAGCCAGGATGTCTTTAGAAACTTTCTCTATAAAGAGAACAATACATGTATGCTTTTAGAAGTGGCTCACAGTACTTTGTATCCTCTGAAGAAAACAAACATATTTTCTCAATCAAAGCATGTAAATCCTCTATGTTGCATTCATATTGGGTGGGACTGGGAAGCTGTGGCTCTCTAACAAAGTATCTTAACTTATATCTTTACCTCCTTGCTTTTCTTTTTGGGTGACTTGCAGCTTCTCTCTCACTCTGCCCACTTCATTTCTGCTGACACACTCCACAGTGGTGTTGGTGTGGTTTCTGACAGGCATGCTGATGGTGCTGTTCACTAAGAACATCAACACTGATGTAGTAAAACTGTACTCATCGATGTCAAGCCATCTTATGAGGGGTAAGGGAACTCCCTGAGTGACACACACACAGGTCATGACCTCTGCCTGGACCACACACCCAGAGCCAGCAAGAATCACGGGACGGTCTGGTGAAAGACAGAGAGGGAAGATAAATCATAGGCAATTTAAAGGTAACAACATGTCGCAAGCCATTTTCAATCAAGTCTGTACAGTGCTGTTTGTACTCACACATCACAGTGACAACAGTGGAAGCTGTCAGAGTCCTGTTGTGGTGTTGAGCTGTACACACATACTCCCCAGCATGCTCTCTTGTCATGTTAGAGATGGTGAGAGTGGCCAGTCCAGAGCTATTCTGTTCCAAAGCGGTTGTCCCATTCTTACTCCAGGTGATGTTAGATGATGATGGTGGTTAGCTGTCAACACTACCGGTCAGATTCAGGGTATCACCCTCTCTCACTTTGTTACTACCAAAGATCTTGGGTTCCTTCACATCTAGAAAACAAAGAACAGTGCATACAGATTACGTTCATAAAATAGAACTGTTAAAGCACAACGTGAAGGTCAGATAACGAACAGTACTTACATGTCACATTCAATTTCAGTGTCTTCTTAGTGGTGACGCTGCCATTGAATGTCACCAGACATGTGATCTTGGTGCTGTGATGCTTAGTTGAGGGGGTAAAGGTCAAATCTGAGAAGTGGGTTCTTGTGATGCTGGTCAGGTCCTCTTTCTCCTGTATGGTGCTGTTGTCTCGGAGCTCAGTGATGTTGTCCCCTGTCCCTCTCCATGTCCATGTGATGTTAGGAGGAGTTCCAGAGCAGATCCCCGGGGCGGTGCAGGTCAGAGTGGCTGGTTCTCCCTCTGTCAGAGGAGGAGTCAACACTGAGGGCTTCTGGGTCAGAACTGGACACAGGAAATACAAAACACAGAAGTGAGTTTTACATCTGTGTACCAGACGTCAGAGAAACATAATCAGACACAGTGTGACAGCATCATGTCTATGCTACCCCTGTAAAAAGTGTCTTACTGCTACAAATAATGCCAAAAAAGGTCCACCAATGTTTAGAAAAAATCAGACTTTGGAAAGGGAGAATTGGGAAGGTGTCAAGCGACGTGTATGCGGTAGGCGAAGTCAAAAGCAGGACACTGAGCTACTGGCAACGTACTTTACTGAACAAAGTAATCAGAGTACAAAACAAACCTCCTAACAGGGAGGAACAATAACCCGCACTCAATAGCAACTGCCGAAATGACAAAAAAACAATCACACACAATACACAAGTGGGCTCAATGGACCTCTCCTCTGTGTCATATAGTCGGGACAGGGCGTCTGCCTTAGCGTTCTGGGACCCTGGTCTATAGGTGAGCGTAAATACAAATCGGGTGAAAAACATAGCCCACCTTGCCTGGCGAGGGTTCAGCCTCCTCGCCGCCCGGATGTACTCCAGGTTACGATGGTCAGTCAAAATGAGAAAAGGGTGTTTAGCCCCCTCAAGCCAATGCCTCCACACCTTCAGGGCTTGAACCACAGCTAACAGCTCCCTGTCCCCCACATCATAATTGCGCTCCGCTGGACTGAGCTTCTTACAAAAAGAAAGCACAGCGGCGGAGTTTAGGTGGCGTACCCGAGCACTGAGACAGTACAGCACCGATCCCAGCCTCGGACGCATCCACTTCAACTTGGAATGCCAAAGAGGGATCCGGATGTGCCAGCACTGGAGCCGAGGTAAACAGGTCCTTCAGATGCCTAAAAGCCCTGTCCGCCTCAGCCGACCACTGCAGACGCACCGGACCCCCCTTTAGCAGGGAGGTAATGGGAGCTGCTACCTGCCCAAAGCCCTGGATAAACCTCCGGTAGTAATTGGCAAAACCCAAGAACCGCTGCACCTCCTTCACCGTGGTGGGAGTCTGCCAATTGCGCACGGCTGAAACGCGGTCAATTTCCATCTCCACCCCTGACGCGGACAACCGGTGTCCCAGGAAGGAGATGGACTCCTGGAAGAACAGACATTTCTCCGCCTTCACATACAGGTCATGCTCCAACAGTCTACCAAGCACCAGACGAACCAGGGACACATGCTCGGCTCATGTAGCGGAGTATATTAGAATGTCATCAATATACACCACTACACCCTGTCCATGCAAGTCCCGGAAAATCTCATCCACAAACGATTGGAAGACTGAAGGAGCATTCATTAACCCGTATGGCATGACGAGGTACTCATAGTGACCCGAGGTGGTACTAAATGCTGTCTTCCACTCATCACCCTCCCTAATGCGCACCAGGTTGTACGCGCTCCTGAGATCCAATTTTGTGAAGAATCGCGCCCCGTGTAATGACTACGTCATACTAGCAATCAGAGGAAGAGGATGGCTGTATTTGATTGTGATCTGATTGAGACCACGGTAGTCAATACACGGGCGTAAACCCCCATCCTTCTTCTTCACAAAAAATAAACTCGATGACGCAGGGGAAGTGGACGGCCGTATGTATCCCTGTCTCAGAGATTCGGTGACATATGTCTCCATAGCCGCCGTCTCCTCCTGAGACAGAGGATACACATGACTTCGGGGAAGCGCAGCGCCTACTTGGAGGTTTATCGCACAATCCCCCTGTCGATGGGGTGGTAATTGAGTCGCCTTCTTTTTACAGAAGGCGAGAGCCAAATCGGCATATTCAGGTGGAATGTGCATGGTGGGAACTTGGTTCGGACTTTCCACCGTCGTTGCCCCTACGGAAACACCTACACACCTCCCGAAACACTGATCAGACCATCCCTTGAGAGCCCTCTGTTGCCATGAAATGTTGGTGTCATGAGAAGTTAACCAGGGAAGCTCCAACACCACGGGAAACGCAGGAGAATCAATCAAATACAAACAAATTATCTCCTCATGGCCATCCTGAGAGGCGCTGTGACCTCCCTAATCAACCCTGACCCCAAAGTGCAGCTATCTAGGGCATGGATAGGGAAGGGCACATCAACTGGAACAATAGGAATCCCTAACTTATAGGTAAACTGGCGATCGATAAAATTCCCAGCTGCGCCTGAATCTACTAGCGCCTTATGCTGGGAATGAGGAAAAACCTCGGGAAAAACACAACTTTAATACACATATGTGCAACAGGGAGCTCTGGGTGAGTTGGGTGCCTACTCACCTGGAATGACTCATCAGTGCGCTGCCTACTGCCTCGATTCCTAGGAGACCCTTCCCAGCACCGACCAGCAGTGTGTCCTCTGCGGCCACAGTTGGTGCAGGGGACGGCCCCTCTCCTGGTCTCCCTAGTACCAGCACCTCCGAGCTCCATAGGGGTCGGCTCGGAAGTGCTGGGGGATGGAATGGACGGCCCCGAATCCAGACGTCCGCGAGTAGCCAACAGGGTATCCAGGTGAATCGACATGTCCACCAGTTGGTCGAAGCGTAGGTTGGTGTCCCTGCTGGCCAATTCCCGACGCACATCCTCCCGCAGGCTACATCAGTAGTGCTCGATGAGGGCCCTCTCATTCCATCCCGCGTTGGCAGCCAGCGTCCGGAAGTCCAGTGCGAACTCCTGCGCGCTCCTCCTCCCCTGTCTGAGGTGGAATAGACGCTCACCCGCCGCTTTACCCTCTGGTGGATGATCGAATACTGCCCTGAAGCGGCGGGTGAACTCCGCATAGTTGACAGTAGCGGCGTCTTTATCCCCCCCACTCGGCGTTGGCCCACTCCAGCGCCTTTCCGGACAGACAGGAGATGAGGGCGGACACGCTCTCGTATCCCGAGGGCACCGGGTGGATGGTTGTCAGGTAGAGTTCGACCTGGAGCAGGAAACCCTGACACCCGGCAGCTGTGCCATCATAAGCCCTCGGGAGCGAGAGCCGAATCCCACTGGACCCTGGAGGTGAAGCGATGGGCATCGCTGATGGTGGTGGTATAGTCGGAGGAGGTGTAGGCAAACCTCCTCTTTCCCATCGCTCCATGGTGCTCACCACCCGTTCCATGGCGGTGCCGAGAGCCTGGATCATGCTGGAACCGCCGCTCCCGCTGACTCCATGGAAGGTGTGTGATTCTGTCAAGCGACGTGTATGTGGTAGGCGAAGTCAAAAGCAGGACACTGAGCTACTGGCAACGTACTTTACTGAACAAAGTAATCAGAGTACAAAACAAACCTCCTAACAGGGAGGAACAATAACCCGCACACAATAGCAACTGCCGAAATGACGAAAAAACAATCACACACAATACACAATGAGAGACAGAGGGTTATAAAGGGAATACAATACAACATAATTGGGAACAGGTGTAAGTGCTCAGCATATGTGGGAACTCCTTCAAGACTGTTGGAAAAACATTCCAGGTGAAGCTGGTTGAGAGAATGCCAAGAGTATTTAAAGCTGTCATCAAGGCAAAGGGTGGCTATTTGAAGAATCTCAAATATAATATATATTTTGATTTCTTTAACACTTTTTTGGTTACTACATGATTCCATAAGTGTTATTTCATAGTTTTGATGTCTTCACTATTATTCTACCAAGTAGAAAATAGTAAAAATAAAGAAAAACCCTTGAATGAGTAGGTGTGTCCAAACTTTTGACTGGTGCTGTAAGTATTCAGATCCTTTACTCAGTACTTTGTTGAAGAACCTTTGGCAGCGATTACAGCCTCAAGTCGTCTTGGGTATGATGCTACAAGCTTGGCACACCTGTATTTGGGGAGTTTCTTTCATTCTTCTATGCAGATCCACACAAGCTCTGTCAGGTTGGATGGGGAGCGTCGCTGCACAGCTATTTTCAGGTCTCTCCAGAGATGTTCGATCGGGTTCAAGTCTGGACTCTGGCTGGGCCACTCAAGGACATTCAGAGACTTGTCAAATAAAATCAAACCAAATACATTTGTATTTGTCACATGCGCCGAATACAACAGGTGTAGACCTTACAGTGAAATCCGTACTTACAAGCCCTTAACCAACAATGCAGTTTTAAGAAAAATAAGTGTTAAGTAAAAATAGATAATTAAAAAATACAATTAAAAAATAATTAAAGAGCAGCAGTAAAATAACAGTAGCCAGGCTATATACAGGGGGTACTGGTACAGAGTAAATGTGCGGGGGGCACAGATTAGTCGATGTAATTGAGGTAATATGTACATGTAGGTAGAGTTAAAGTGACTATGCATAAATAATAAACAGAGAGTAGCTGCAGCGTAAAAGAGGGGGTGGGATGGAACAATGCAAATAGTCCGGGTAGCCATTTGTTTTGCTGTTCAGGAGTCTGATGGCTTAGGGGTAGAAGCTGTTAAGAAGCCTTTTGGACCTACACTTGGCGCTCCGGTACCGCTTGCCGTGCTGCAGCAGAGGGAACAGTCTATGACTAGGATGGCTGGAGTCTTTGACAATTTCTAGGGCTTTCCTCTGACACTGCCTTTTGTAGAGGTCCTGGATGGTCAGAAGATTGGCCCCAGTGATGTACTGGGCCGTACGCACTACCCTCTGTAGTGCCTTGCGGTCGGAGGCCGAGCAGTTGCCATACCAGGCAGTGATTCAACCAGTCAGGATGCTCTCGATGGTGCAGCTGTATAACTTTTTGAGGATCTGAGGACCCATGCCAAATCTTTTCAGTCTCCCGAGGGGGAATAGGCTTTGTCGTGCCCTCTTCATGACTGTCTTGGTGTGTTGGGACCATGAGAGTTTGTTGGTGATGTGGACACCAAGTAACTTGAAGCTCTCAACCTGCTCCACTACAGCCCCGTCCATGAGAATGGAGGGCGTGCTCGGTCCTCTTTTTCCTGTAGGCCACAATCATCCCCTTTGTCTTGATCACGTTGAGGGAGAGGTTATTATCCTGACCAGGTCTCTGAGCTCCTTCCTATAGGCTGTCTCATCGTTGTCGGTGATTAGGCCTACCACTGTTGTGTCGTCGGCAAACTTAATGATGGTGTTGAACGCTGAGCTGTAGTCAATGAAAA